TTGAAACACCTGGGTCAGATGCCACGGCTTGCACAAAGTCTCTCTGCTTCAGTGGAATCCCTCTCTTTCTCTCCTGCAAAACCTTGGACTCTCATGTGACTAGGCATTTATTACCTAGATCAGCCTGTCTCCCGCCATGGGCTCTGGAATGAGGTCAAACCATAACTGGCCACATCAGAGTCTGAAAACTTCCTTTTGCACATATTCCAGCTGTTTCTACAAGCAAGGAAGAAAGAAAAGGAAGAAGGAAGGAAAGGGTGTTGAGCCACCAAATCACAGACTGTTAGAAACTGGTGGGAGGCCCCAGGGGATACCTCACAGGTGAAGAAGACTTAAGGATGGACTCATGCTGTTCAGAGGAGGCCTGCATGAGGCCAAAGGCTGGCGGGAGAGGGGGGGGTTGGAGGAGGTGGAACGCGTCCCTCATAATCAGGAAGCAAAGAGAGTCAGGAAAGGCCTAACAATTCCCTTCAAGGGTCCCTGTGATGGTCAATCTTAGTGGTCAATGTGATGGTACTCGGAATTATCACAGGAATTAACCTCCGTGTGTCTGTAAAGAATTCTCTACATTGGGTTACCCGAGGTAGGAAGACCCACCTTAAAAGACCCACCTGTGTGGCAGGCTGGGGTCCCATACTGAATAAGGAGACAGAGCTGACCAGCAGCACTCATTGGCATCTGCTTCCTGGCTGCAGGCACACTGTGCCAGCTTCTCACTCCCGCCACCATGCTTTACCTTCATGATGGACTGTGCCCTCCAACCGAGAGCCAAAAAAAAAAAAAACAAAAAACAAAAAACAAAAGCAAACCCTCCCTCTTCATGTTGCTTCTTATCAGGCATTTACCACAGCAATAAGAAAAGTATTACAGTTCCCTGGTGGCCTGAGGTCCTCCCGGTGGGCCCTTTCTCTACTAGAGGCAGAATGCCACGAGTCCAGGGCCCGAGCCTTTAAACCACAGGCCTTTAGAGAACAAGACAGTCAGCAGCCCCGTGACTTGGGCCTGCACCTGCCCCCTTCATGGTGAAGAGATGTCAGTCTGGCCTCCTTGGACCATGCCCAAGAATAAAAAGAGCCTGAATCTCATGCTTCGGGGCTCCACCACACACCCCTGACTTGTGAGCTCAGGTGCCATCTGCTGGCCGAGGACAGTACTGCATTTGGACCTGTGGCCCTAAGGGTTGTCAGGGAACACAGCTGAGTCAGTCCAGGCCAAGGTCACTTCTGAGACAGCAGAAAATGCCCCTCTCTTTAGGGACCAGCTCTTGGGCCTCCTCTTATTACTTTCTGCTGCCCTTGACTTAGCCAAGTGGCCCCCCAGAATTCTGCTAAGCTAGTCCCTGTGCAAGGATGAAGCCCTTAGGGTGACCTTTTCTCCACACTGATAGGACCACCTGATGTCACGGGGCTGGGACTCATCTGGAACCAAACGTAATCATGGGGTTCAGAGTCCAGGGATCCTGTTGCCTCCACCTTGTGCACCATCCCTACGGTGCAGATACCCTCTCAGACCAGCCCTAACCCCCTGGGACAGGAAATGGCTTGAGCACACAATTGATTCTCGGGGACTCGGTGGATGGGAAGGGTCCTGAAGACACACGTGAACTAAGCCGTCTGGGCCCAACCAGCACCCTCAGCTCCTGCCTACCCCTGCGGTAGTCTGAGAAGCAGGCACACTCACGCGGTCTTTGAACTCGGGACGACCTTAAAACCCAGCCAAGGACTGGAGAGCTAGAAAAATGGTGATGCACAGAATACCCAGCTTCTTCCAACTACATCCTGGAAACTTAGGGGTGGAGCCGGGCTGCCACGGGAGGGCCCACAGCTGGAGGGGGGGCAGGAATTAATGCAACCCCCCCCCCCCCGTCAACACTGTCCTTAAAGAGCTGTTCTTCCCCAGCAGTGTCGTGGGAGGGGCTGGGGGCGGAAGGCGTGCAGAGTGAGTGATTTCCTCCGCCCTCACACCCCCACACTCACCTACCCGGCCTCCCACACAGCCCCTTTCCCCTCCCCTCCACCCACAGATGAGAAAGTGTGTCACCAGAGAACAAAGGCCACCTCCCCAGGGGGTGGGGGGGACTGCCTGGGGACCTGTGGTACCGGAGGTTTCTACACCCCCCAGCAATGATGACAGCCACTCACTCAGAACTGTGACCTGGACCACAGCCTCACTCTCTCAGCGGGACCATGGACAAACTGGGACAGTAGCCATACATACAGCCACTGGGCTTAGGACTACTCAGTGAGAGGAGGCCGGAGAAGACTGAATACTCAGGAGACATCTTCCAACCCCCAAACCTCCCGCAGCCGCTGGCTGGCCCGCCATGACTGCTGACAGCTCTGACTTGGGCCCGGTCTGGAAGGAGCCACTGACCTGCTCTTGCCCCAGCCTTCCCCCAGATGCTTCTCCTACCACCCCTCCCTCACATCCACCCCTGCTGAGTTGCCACATGCCAGCAAGGATGCTCAGCACTGTTATTACAGTACAGTGAGTTACTTCGGTTTTTAGCTGGGGGGGCGGGGGGTGAATCTCACACTGTTGGAAGCCAGAGGCCCACAGTCCCAGTAAGAAGCAAAGGCAAGCTGGCCAGCACCATGTCAACCCTGTCCCGACTGCCCCGGGTTCCTCTATCCAAGCCCCGCTCCTCCTAGCCTCCAGCTTTCTCCCTGACACCAACCCTAAGTCAAACCTGGCTTTCATTCCTTCTACCTCCTTGGAGCAAGGCAGTCTTGGAGGCATCTGTGCCTGACCCGGGGCCTCACAGAGTCAGACCGTGAGCCTCTCTGCAGGCCAGGCCATCACGGATATGCAGGAACCACTTTGTCTGGGTGCTGGATACTTAGACCAGCTCCACATATCAGTGAAAAAACAACAGGACTGATCTTTATCCAGCCTCTGCCACATAGCCTTGCCTTGCATAACCCAGGAAGGCCCGTTTGCCATTAAACAGACACTGGAAGCGACTGGACACCTCACTACCCTGCCGCTACCGGTCCAGGGAAAATGGGCTGTCACGGTCTTCATCTCTGAAGATATTCTGGCTTGCAATAGAACGGCCTGATTTCCAACAAGCTACGCGCCACACTTGGAGGGTGCTAAGTTATGTGGGCCCTGATACAGATGGTCCAGGGAGATCAACGATTCCCCAGGACAGCTGCAGTTCCTATGGGATAACAGCACCTAGCGCTCTGCCCACCATTTGCTGGACGGATAGACAGATGGACAACTGGCCTAGAATCACTTAGCAGATAGAGAATATAGAAAGAAAGAAAAAAACATTTCAGGCAGAGCAAGGATGAAGACCACAGGCACTGAAGGCCAGGGGTACACAGCGAGAAGGTGAACGGGGCACGGGACACGACAGCCAGCACAGTAATGCCCTCTGTTTGCTGTCCATTATCTTCTATAACCTTCACGCCAACCACAGCGGGCATTACAGTCCTTTCTCATTCTACAGATGAGGTGACAGGAACACATAACTTGTGCTGCGTCCCAGACTGCGGCACCAAAGCCCAAACTCTAGTCACCAGGCCCCTCCCATGCCAAGGGCAGTCAATAAAGCAGGTAGGTGGTGTGTGCGTGTGTGTGTGTGTGTGTGTGTGTGTGTGTGTGTGTGTGTGTGTGTGTGTGTGTGTGTGTGTGTGTACCACAGATACGGGTACCGTGGAGGCCGTCAGATCCCAGGAGCTGAAGTTAGAGATGGCTGCGGGTTGCCCAGTGTGCGTGCTGGGTACCAAATGAGTCCTCTAGAAGACAGGCAAGCACTCTCAAGCACTGACTCATCTCTCCAACTACCAGGACTTGAACTTACGGACGGCTGGCAGGGAGGCATCAACAGTTACAAAGCAACCTCGGGGCAGGCAGCAGGTGAAGACCGGACTTTTAAGGTCATGCTCAGAAAACTCTAGACGACAGGGCTAGGTGAGTGGAATTAGGGTTCAGCAGAGGTCTCGGAGGGGTGCTCAAGTTACAGCACATAGCGTCTCAAGGCTGGGCCCGACCTGCTGCTCAGCCACCTGCAATGGGCACTCCAATCCCTCCGTGTCCAGAACACGCCAGTGAAGGCCTGAGCAACCACACCCACTTCAGAAAAAAAATAAAAATAAAATTTAAAACACTGCCCGGCAGGTCACCATCCTGAGGGTGAAGGTGAGACAAAGGGGACTTCCTTTCCTTTCTCTGTCACTCCAGGGTACAGAATGGACATGAGAAGGTGAGACTTGAGGAGGTGAGTTCTAGTGCCTCTTTCAGGAAGCTGCTTTTTTTTCTGTTTTTGAGACAGGGTCTCACTACATAGCCCTGGCTGTCCTGGAACTCACTCTGTAGACCAGGCTGGTCTTGAACTCACAGAGATCCACCTGCCTGTACTTCCCACGAGCTAGGATTAAAGGCGTGCAGCACCGTGCACATGCCCAGCAGGAAGCCTTCTGATAGTCAGAGGCTACTGGTAATAGAATGGAGGGGCACCTTGGGCAGCGGGCAGCTAAGAGAGTAAGCGTCCCAGCCCTGGAGATCAAGCAGGCTGGGTAAGTGCCTGCCAGAAACATTCCGGAGAAGCCAATGCAGTTAACTGGACGGTTTGCTGATGGCATCCTAGCACAGTGTGCTAGCCTTCATCCCTCAGCTGCAAAATGGCGTCGGAACTAGTTCTTGCCTCACACTTGCTGTGAGGACTGTGACGGTGTGACACACAACAGTCATCAGCATGCGGTAAACCCCCAGGAGCTGACAGACAGTATTAGGTCAAAGCATCCGAACCATCTCAGGTCACCAGCCAACACTGCTGAATACGGACATCTCCTATTTCGGCTATTATCTCTTACTGATGGCCACTGAGGCTCCTTCTAGCTCGTGGCTCAGCACTGAATGCTGCTGAGACATTTGATTCCACACCAGCGATGGATCCTCGGTACCCGGGGCCAGGCAGCGGGACTCTGAAGGAGCCTTTTGTAGAGGCCTACTTTTGTCGGGTCCCTCCCTGCTCCAGAACAACAAGGTACCTCCTTGCCGAGGTCTTCTCGGATGACCTGCTGGACTTCCTGCATGCTGCTCTGTGGGGCCTGGCTGTGCAACACCTTCAGCGTGCTGGTGTACTCCTCCGGCAGCAAGTAGTCCAGGGCCCCCAGGTGCTGGCCCACCTTGATGAAGGTGCCCCGGTTGGCACAGCAGAGCTCGCAGAGACGTCTGGCAGAGCGGAGGTGCACCTGCAGAACACAGGCAAGCCAGAGAAGTGAGTGCAGCCTGCTCCCTGGACAGTATTCCCTTCTTCTGTCTGTCTGCTCCAACACCTTTGTTTACTCCCTGGTGTCCAGGGCAGGTACACACACACACACACACACACACACACTCACGCACACACGCGCACGCGCGCGCACACACACGCATCCACACACTCGTGCATGTACACATACACACAGACATGCACACGCACACGCAGGCACACACACGCACATATGCACACACATGCACACGCACATGCACACTCACATACACGTGTGCGTGTGCACACACACTTCTCTTTTCATCTTTTACTTTCCTAGTCCCCAGAGCAGTCAATTCTAATCTCACACTGAGGCCAGCCTCTGCACACAGCCTGATGCTTCTGGTCTCCTCCCCTTCTAGCGAAGCTTAACTGGTTGGAGCCTCACTCCCCATAAATGAGTATTCGCAGCTATTAACCGAGACAAACATCTGGACCCGCTGAAAGGTAGACTGCGTTAATAGTTTTTCCACCTACTCCTCAACCATCTAAGACTTCAGGTTGTCTGCAACTCTACCCCTGACAGGGTGATAACAGTAATAATAGTAAACAATAATAACGACTCATATATATCATAATTTTTAATCTTCAAAATAGGTCAAGGAGGCAGAGCTGATACCTTTAAAAATAAGAAAATCAGTTTTCTTATTTAGAAAATAGAAATGAATATCCAAGGAAAGGCTATAAAACACTCCAAATCTAAGGCTTTATTCCTACACACGGAGCAGACAGTGGCCAACCTCGGGGGTCCTCCTCAATCACGCCCCACTTCAGTTTTGGGGACAGGGTCTGTCCATGAAGCTGGAGTTCATCAGTTCCTCTAGGCTGGCTAGCCAGTGAGCTCCAGGGAGCCACCTGTCTCCCGACACCCCCAAGGCTGTGGTCACACATGCACGCCACCACACCCAATTTGTGGGTGACGGGAATCCAAAGTCAGGTGCCCATGCTCACACAGCAGGCACTTTACCAATTAGGCCATTTCCCTGCCCCTAAAGGTAAAGATAGATAGATAGATAGATAGATAGATAGATAGATAGATAGATAGATAGATAGATAGATAGATAGATAGATAGATATCTTAGTAAATCAAACCCCTGTAAGTGGGACCATCTACACTGCCTCTCAGCTATGGATCCACCTCTTCTTTGATCCCAAAGATAGGTATCAGGTTTGGGCAGCAGGGGGATGCTCTGAGGCCCAGACAGAGGCCAGCATTGCCCTTCATGGTTCCAGTATTCAGAAACGATGAGCAACCAGCCGAGGCAGGCACTGTTCCCAGGTTAGCGGTGGCCCATACCCTCTACTACCTGTAGGCCCGGTCTGTGAACCAACCAAGGCACTCCACAGTGTGGTGAGCACCCAACATGCTGTTCCTACAGACTGGCTTGCTGTCATACCCCCCCACAAGTTCTTCTGCCAGCCAGCAGGCTGCCCCCGAGGTGGGAAGAACTCAGCTAAGTCATCAGCCTCAGCCTTCTTCTCTGCCCCATCGTCTCCAGGAGGAGCTGCTGGGTGTATTTACTGTTCCCGCCATTAGAATCTCATTGGATCTCTTCTAGGAATTAGTCATCTTTCACTACTTAATAATTCTTTACATTCAATTTCCCCTGTTCAAATTACTTACGTAATTAGAAGCTGGGTGATACACAGTGCTAAGCCCTGAAATTAAATTTGTAATGATTAAGATGAAAATTGAGGGGTTTTTCAAATCAAGAGAACTATTGAAGCCATAGTTGTGTGTGTGTGTGTGTGTGTGTGTGTGTGTGTGTGTGTGTGTGTGTGTCTGCGTGCATGTGCATGCTGAAGGTTGCAGCATGTTTTGCTGTGTGTGCTTGTATGTTGTGGGGCACCCTGGGTGCATGTGTGCATGTGTGTATTGTTGGCAGACCTGCCCACTGTGTTCTTGAAGCTAGATCCACATCTACATGTCTCTGTTGCTGCGGATCCTTAGAAAGCATTGGCCTCATCGTGTCCAGCCTCTCCAAAAGGAAACAGGGTTCATTGTTCCTCATCACCTGTGACTTGAAACAGTGACAAATGGATATCTCTTGACACAAAGGGATGGTCGCCTTCACACACTGTCTAATTAACATGGGGATCCTTGGTTCACCCAAGCCCAGAGGGTCCAATCAACCCTAGCTTGACTATTTCCTGGCACATCCGCTCCTGGTTACAGAGGCTATGTGTGTCTATAGTACAGTCTGTGTACCTCAGGGTAAGCCACCCAGCCACCAAAAATGTAGATTGGTAACAAAGATAGGTCATACACTCACAAAACCAGGATCCATGAAACTGAGTCAGTACCTGCTTTATATGGCACCCTCATTTCCACTAAGGAAGCCCTGAGGTCACCTTCATTCAGTTACACACACACACACACACACACACACACACACACTCACAGACAAGGTGCATTGCCATGGACAGAAAACTTACAATATTCTGTTATGATGCAAAAAGCAAATGCTGCCTAACAGCAACACTCAGCCCACCAGGGTCCCCGTTCTGCTCCGGCTCCCGCAGGTCCACTGTCCTTTTGGATGAGAAGCCAGGCTCATTCTGACGGTCAGGATTACAAGCACACATCACCCAGCTCACCTTTTTACATGGGTTCTGTAAATTCAAAGCCTCACACTTGCGAGGCAAGCAGTTTGCCAACTGAGCCATCCCCCAGCTCCAGAGCACAGATCTTTGATACGTCCATAAAGATTAAATAACTTCAGAGTTCAGTGACACTCTCAAAGTCTCACAGCCAGTAAATGAATGGTAAAAAAAATCACGATATGGCCTTCATCCGTCAGACCCCCGGCCCTGTATCCTCTGACCCCATGCAAGGGATTGAGCATTGGTGGGGGGTTTGTATGTACTGTGCTTGCAGTGGGGATGTATACCATGGTCTTCACATTAAAAAATCAACTGAGCAGCAGGCATACATCCATAAAGCCAAAACTGTCAACAGCAGGCAAGAAAGGTAGCTGCCCAGTCACTCCATGTGACAGGCACTGAACCATCACCAGGTTAGGAAATGAGGTGGCCCTGACCATTGGATCCAATGTATACATTTTAGATGGCTACAAAAGATGTATTCACTCCTAACCAAACAAAGGAGGTCATGTGACTTGCTAGTCAATGTTGCCGACACTGGAGTCAGGAAGACTTGAGCCCAAATTCAATTTTTGCTACTTACCTATCCTCAAACCTCAACAGAACCTTGGTCTCTTCCCGAGAAGAAAAAGGACAATAATTACGCTCATCACAGTGGTTAAATAAAGTAATGCATAACATCAAGCCCAGCACCAGGCCCAGCATATAGTCAGTGCACAAAAACTAGCCGAAAGAGGCAGAGGGGAAACAAATCAATCTCCCCAGGGAGTGAAATGTCCAAAAATTAATAAAACAGAGTTCCCCAAAGAGTGGCTGAGAAACAGTTTTTAAAATGTTCAACATCCTTAGCCATCTGGGAAGTGACAATTAAAACTACTTTGAGATTTCATTGCACTCCAGTCAGGATGGCTAAGATCCAAAATACAGCTGGGGGGTGGTGGCTCACACCTCTGATCCCAGCACTCGGAAGGCAGATGCAGGCAGATCTCTGTGAGTTCAAGGCCAGCCTGGTCTACAGAGTGAGTTCTAGGACAGCCAGGGCTACAAAGAGAAACTCTATCTCAAAAAAACAAACAAACAAAAAATCCAAAGCACAAATGCTTGCATGAATGTGGGGAAAGCAGGAACCCACATTTGTTGCTGATGGGGTGTAAATGCAGCCACTATGGGAATTAGTGTGGATGTTTCTCAAAAAGCTGAAAACAATTCAGACATGATCCAGCTCTGTATCTCTTGGGCATATACACAAAGAGCTCTACGTCCTACCACAGAGGTGCATGCTCCACGTTCATTGCTGCTCTGTTCACAATATCCAGTAAATGGAAACAACCTAGATGCCCATCAACAGATGAACGGGTAATGAAAACGTGGGATATCTACACAGAGAACTAGTACTCAGCTACTAAGAAAGATGAAATCATAACATCCATAGGCAAATGAGAGGAACTGGAAACAGTCGTCCTGATTGAGGTAACCCAGGCCCAGAAAGGCAGAGGTCACACATTCTCTCTCATTTGTAGATATTAGCTTTGAATCTTTAGATATTTGTATTTCATTTGGAATACCCACAGAGGCCAGGAAAATACTAACAGACCATGAGAGGAGCTTTCAAGAGATGGGAGATATGGGGCACGAGAGATGGCTCAGAGGTTAAGAGCATTGACTGCTCTTCCAGAGGACCCAGGTTCGATTCCCAGTGCCCATATGGCAGCTAACAACTGTTTGTAACGCCAACACCTGACACCGAAAAATAAAAAAAAAAAAAGAAAAGAAATGGGAGACAAACTACAATGATATAAAGGAATAAATTATGGCAGGGAAGGTGAGGGCGGGTAGAAGAGGAAACTGGGGGGAATAAATAACTCTAGAGACTTCTCAAAAGAGGTCATATGGAAGCCTACTGCTGTAGAACCTTCCTAAAATATAGCTATACACATACATAAAAAGAGTCAAAATGGATCACCCTATGAGGGCCATAGGGCCCCTACTACACCAGAGAATAACAAATAAAAAGCCCAGGGCTAGGAATGGCTTACTTCTCCTGGAGTTGTTGGCTAGTGAGGTCTCCTAGACCCCCTAAACAGTTCAGGCTATTACCAGTGCTATTGTCTACCCTCCAGAACATGACAGCGAGACCCTCTGGCTGAAGAAGATACCACATACGTGAGTCACAGAACATGGAGAAATCACGTTAGAACTAACCTGGAAGTTTCGTCTCTACTGGCTAGCTTTCGTTGTGCTGGAAGGTGCTAGACACGCTACCAGAGGAGAAAAGTAAAAATCGATCTTACCCAGGTGTGAAACCTGTCATCTGTAACAGTCTGTCTGGCAAGACATGCC